TGTTCTTATAGTTTTGTTTTGTTACCAATTCTTCTTTCTGTTGATTTAATTCAGGGAGGTGCTGCCACGTATGTCAATCTGAATTCACAGTGGAACACGATGATTATTCTCTTCTGGGTGTCCAGAGGGACAACGGGCTTCTTCAGAAAGAAGTTATATAGTTCTTCCTGACTATATAAGTTTAAGGCTCCCTGGATATGTCCTCCCAGGTACTCATATGGATAGCAGCAATCAATGATATAAAACTTCTCAATCAGACCCTGGTACTTCCCCAAAAGTATGGCAGCCACCGTTTCTGGGTTGATGTACTTCAGATCTTGGTGTTTCCCTGACACGGTTGGCAGTGCACATACCTTGGAGAAATCACTAATCAGATGTCCCTGGTTAGAATCTTCCTCCATCATTTGAGTAACACTAATGTCACACAGAGAGACAGTCTTCTTTAGACCTAAGCCCTGATCTGGCATTAGGTTGTCCTTGAATTCTACCATCTGTTTCAGTCTTGGCCTGTTCAAATTCTCTGGCATCGAAGGAGACCGATATAGGTAGCTTCTGTTCAGAGATGCCTTGACATCTTCTTGATCTTCCAGTGAAAACTCCATCAAATCATGTGAAATATCTTCTATCTGGAATTCTAGTTTTGGATTTTCATTCCGTTTTGGAAGTATAGTAATGGGACTGCCCAAATCTGTCATTTCATTTTCCAATAAGTTTCTATTGTCATTTTTTTTATTTGTAGATGAATTACACACTGCAGCTTTCTTTCTGTGACCATGGTCCAAAGAATTCGGAGTGCTACACATCAGTTGTGCTGGGCTGCCTTTTATAAGATGCTGATGATGATTCACCCCAACTAACTGTATTTCTTGCAGTCCTGATGAATCCAAATGACCGGTTTCACCAGAGTCTGCAGAAGTGGTAAGCTGAGTGGAAGGCATGGTAGACATCTCCACATTGCTAAGATTCGAAAGATCAAGGCAACATTTTGGGGTTCCGCCAGAAAAAATGCTTAAGTTTCGAGAATCACCAAAAACTTTGTTCATTGGAGTTCTAGGGAGATCTGGATAAACGGTAAATGAAGTTTCTCTTTCCAGCAGCCGGTTTAGCCTCTTCCTCCTACTGGATCTAAAATTGGGCCCTGAGCCAGAGCTTCCCTCCTCTTTTGTGGATGAGAAGAGATTTGTAGACATGGTCTCCGAGTGCTCACCAAGAAAATATAAAACCGAGAGAGGCAACGCAGAACTTTAAAGATGGAATGAACAAGCTTTGACTTGTTCACGAATCCTGACAGGAACTCGGGTCTTCGATTCGCGATGCCTATCAGATCAGCAGGACTGTTGTTTGCAGGGGCCCGGGTTGGACCCGCAGAAGACTCCGTGGCGTACTCGGCTTCGGACCTAGCTCAGGTTTGAGGTCTGAGCCTTGCCTTCACAAGGAAGGGATCAGACACAGCGAAGCCTCGAGCAAAATTACAGGGAAAAAACAATCTGGGAAAAGATAATTAACCAGACTAATATTTTCCTTCTCGGTTGGATTGATCAGGGTCGGGTTTTTCAGCTTCTCGCGGTAAACGGTGGAAGTTATAGTCTCAAAGTTAAAATATCAACAGACACAGGCCTTGACCATTCAAACCTTCCGCCCTCCCAATAACCTATCCCTGCACATAAGTTTTTAATTTTTGGTCCAGT